AGATGATGCTGTAATCAGATACTGAACTAGGTTTAGGATATAAAAAATGATGACAGTAACAGAAAGAAAGCACTGACTAAAATTACCTTTAAGTTCAGATGGGTAATTAACAATTTAAAAGTTCTAAGCATGAAATCCAGATGAAGTTATGGGCTTGCTTCTCTTTTCTGGTAGATTTTTTTTTCCAGTACTGGGGATCAAACTCCGGACCTTGCGCTTGCCAGGCAGGCACTCATGCTACTGAGTTATCTCCCCAGGCCCTTCCTTCTCTTTCTGAAGACAAACACAGCAGTTGATGAACAGATGGACACTCCAAAAGAATAGCACATCATAAAGCACTCGTCACTGGAAAGCCAGGGCCTTTTCACTTGCAGTTTCCATCCAGTTACTCTGGATTTAAATTTCTGAAGGCTTCTTCAGCACTTAACCAGTTCTTTGTTGCTTGAAGGGGCTAGGACTGTTTCTCCACACATGAACTGATCCTTGTCATAAATCACTTTTATAACAAGAGAGCAGCAAGGACACGTTGCCACGTCTTCTCCGTTCTCCAAATCTTCCCTGGTGATGGAGAAGTTATCCCCACACGGGCAGGGGTAGAAATACGTCTCCGAGTCCTCGTCATACTGAAAGTCCTCGATCTCCACCTCGTCATGGAATACTGCCATAGCCGAGGGGCCGGCCAAGCGCTGACAGCCGCACCGTCCGACACCGCCTCGTCTGGTCTGATATAGCGAGCATGGGCTACATAACCTTTTTGGTCTTTCTGAGACAGGGTCTCGCCATGTAGTTCAGGCTGGTCTTAAACTCACAAGGATCATCCTGCCTCAGCCTTCTGAGTGCTGGGATTTTAGGTTGGAAAACGATGATTTTTAAATCACTTTTCTTTTGAGCGTGCATCCATCCTATTGTCCCTCAAGTACAGTATTTTGTGATTGCTATAAGGAAATGGCCCTTTGTTAGACTTCATTAGTTGGTGAGGTATATTCCCTTTTCTTGAGTTGAAGGGCCGTATTGGAAAGGTAAAGATTAGGACACACTTTTCCATAGAGACTGGGTTCCTTAGATTCTACAGAAGGTGTGGAATACATGAATGAGAAGATGGATAGATTGATTGATTATCAGAATTAAAAGCTATTTCTCTTCCAAGATGGCTTTGGTGCATAAATC